ATCCATTCGTTCTTGAGAAAGAAGGAAATAAATAATTCTCTTGAGTGTTGATTCGGTACTTGGACTAGTAAGAACGCTCTGGTTCATGAATGTATTTTATGAATCACTATCCATTAGAGAATCAATGGTACTCAAGGATGAAGATATAATTAGAAAGATTAACGGATTTCACCTAGCTCTAATTATGAATTATTTATAGAGAATTGATCTATATGCAGTGACTATATCAAATGGACACTTCACAGTTTAGAAGTAATTAATGTCTATAATTTCGAGAGTACAATTCCAAGTTTATAATGGAGTAACTATTAGAATTAATAGAATTAATTAATTAATTAATTAAAGTACGTAATTAATTATTAATTTTATTGGAGCTCGGGATTATAGGTCCATTAGTCCCCGTGTCGTCCTTGTAATTCTACCAGACACAAAGGGCAAAATGGGAATTTTAGATTTATGGAATTCTAAAATTAAACACTCGAAAATAATTAATTGAGAATTAATTATTATTTAAATAATGTGATTATTGAATTGTGAACATAATTTAAATTTATCCTTTTAAACTTATTTGATAAGTTGTTCAATTTAGAATTTAAATTAATTTAAGTTTGACTTAAATTGGAATTTGAATTTGAATCAAAATTGGACTGCATGATAAATGATGATTTTCTCTTTCTTCCCTATTTCTATTTGGCACCTACCACAGGGATAGGATCACCTAGGTTAGCCGGCCATCTTGAGGATAAGGAGTAGGAGACTTTTGTTTTAAATTCAAATAGGAGATAATTAACAAGCTTTATCTTGGAGATAGAGATTGGATTCCTTCTAGAAGTTTGACTTCTACTCTATAAATAAGAGAATGATAGAAAATTATGAGACACAATTTTTGACCTATTTTTCTAAGTGTGGCCGAAATTCTCTATAGAGTGAGAGGAAAAATATTTTTCTCCAAAAATTTCACATCGTGCATGCGTTGGTGTTTGTGGAAATTTGAGTGTTTGTTCTAACCCGTTGTCTCAGGTTGCCCACACACACGTCTTCGTGGATTCTAAGAATTGATGTGGAAGACATTGGTTTTCTAAACACAAGGCTTTGAAGCAAGGATTGTTCGAGGTCAAAGAACTCAAGTTATCATCCTAATCAGCCGCCATGTATTATTCGTAATTGAGTTCTTAATAAATAAGTTAATGTGATTAATTTATTCGTGTATAAATTAATATAATCTATAGAGTATCTCAAAGGTTTTATGAAAATTTTTGTTATACTTGATCCGCTATGCCCACGCTTCCGCATCCAAATTCGAGTCGAAAACCAACAGGGGAGATGGTCCATTTCAAGTGCTCGAGAGGATCAATGATAATGCCTATAAGCTAGATCTGTCAGGTGAGTATAATGTAAGTGCAAGTTTAAATGTTGTTGATTTATCTCCTTATGACGCAAATGAAGATTTGAGGACAAATCCTTTTCAAGAAGGAGGGAATGATGAGAATATAGTAGCACCAACAAAGGATCCATTACAGATACCCAGTGGGCCAATTACAAGAGCAAGGGCTAACAGGTTCAAAGAAGCACTCAATGGTTTAATTCAAGAACTTTGGGTTGAGAGTTTCCTCTTTAATTCCTTAGAGAACTTTTTCGAACTTATTAAGGATTTCTTGTAGCGTTCAAAACCAGACTTATATGCGTACTTTTTAACTTTTACGTGATTTTATACAGATTCGACAGATAAAAAATATAACCTACTGGTATATTTACGTACCGGAGAAGGTCCCATATATTTATATTGACAACTGTGAGAAAGTGTGTATATAAAGGCTATCTATATATGCAAACAATTAAAGGACTAAGTACTTTACTCAATGGAACTTTCTCTGATATTACTGAAAAATAAATTATCAATAATTTTTTATTTTTCAACCGTTAAATTTGTATTAAAAATTATCAATTATGTATATTTTTTAATCTAATGTAATATTAACGAAATTTAACGGTAAAAAATTGACTCTTATGCTAAACCGGTCTACGAAATAAGATCCTTACTTCTCTTTTTATCCATTATAGACATAGATATTCAAAATTAAGTAATTGGTTAAGACTAATATAACATTAATTAATTATGAAAAGAGCAATCTACAATAACCTTCTTCAGCCAGATCACGAACCCACAATATATTATATCCTGCTTTATTATTTAATTAATCTCTTCACAATAGTAAAGAACTGCAGTACTAATACTTTGTGCTGTTTGTATAATGAGACAAATTAATAAACAAAAAACTAATAATAAACTGTTGCCCGTATAATGTCACTAAAAAGGTTAATTTATTCCAACAAGTTTATTATCGATATTAATAAACTAGATTATGATTGACATTAATATACTAGTTTATAAATGTATAATGTTGATATTGCATTAGTTACCTTCAAAAAGAAAAAAAAAATTGCATTAGTTAATAGCGTGGATGAATGTGATTTAGACCCATGCTTTTTATTTTTCTAATCGATTTAGACCCGTGCTTGAAAACATGAGATAATATTTTGCCTGATAATACTAAATGTTGCCTTTATAGTAGTTTACATATTTGTATATATATATATATATAAGTTTCTCTGGTAAAATTAACTTATGGATAGTGTCAAATTTTAACTATTAAATTAGTTAAAAATCACATTAAATTAAAAATATATATAAAATAAATTAATTTTGATATAAATATGACCGTTAAAAATTTATTTTTTTTGATTGCACTAGAAAAGCTATATATATTTATTGAGCAAAGTTTTGTTGCAAAGCCTTATAATCCAGAAAACACAAAGATTACCAATAAGACAGACCTTGCCACAATCGCACGGAATTGGAAAATGGGAAAATTGGTAAACATGGAAAAGGTAATATGTACAGGTGAATAACTCGTAAAAAAGAGCTAGCAACAGTCTCCTCAATATATTTGAGCAAAGCACAGGCTAGTCATTCCCACCCCACGTTTGGAAAATCTAATGTACAGATTTGTGTCCATAATTATAAATGAGTTACTAAATTCCTTTTCTGAAATTTTATCTAAAACAAGAATTTTAAAAATTATATAAAAATAAATCAATGGACTGTAGGTGGTGGCAGTTGGGACTAGATCAGGATGGACACCGGAAGATCAGTGTCACTGTTTCCCGCCTTTCTTTCCGGTGAGTCTGTAATCAGAGTGTCAGGGGTATTTTCGTCAACTCAAGTTTTAAAGAATCTTTTTGGGGGAAAAAAAAATCTAATCAAATTGGCATGAGAATTTTTTTACAGAAGAAGTAACATAGAATAGTCCTTATATTTTGAATCACAGAATATGCATTTATATCCCTGAAGAGGACCTCGTACACATATTTTATTACCCCTATCACGAAATTCTCCATGATGGATTTCAAAAACTTGGAAAAAGTAAACTCATTGTAGTAGAGTAAAAATGAGTGTAATTCAAATTCAAGGTAAATTTGTTAATGTGTTTTAGGAAGTACTAATTACGGATTAACTTTTTTTTTTTTCCTTTTATTTTTTGACAGGGTTGAATATGTTTCCAAGTATTGAATAACCTTCCTAATGCATAATGATCTTTTCTCTTCGGTGATCTTTTTTGATCTTTTTCTTTTTTGGTAATCCAATCTTATGATAGTTGCACTATAAATTGTGTTGTTTAATAAGAAGAAATAATATTTAGGAAAATCACAAAATATGCTGCTTTTCCTCTTTCTTCCTATTTATAATCACGTCAGGAGAGATAAAAATTAAAAAAAAATAAAAAAAGCTTCTAGTTTGGTGTACTTTTTCTTTTTCCTATTTTGAAGTGATTTTTTTTCCCAAAAAAAATTCCAATGTAATAGAAATTTTGGGGTTGTTCTTTTAGAGTGTAACTTGAGTGTAATTTTTGAGTTATAACTTGAGTTGAAGTTAGAACTTAAATAAAATTGAGTAAAATTGAATAAAGTTGAAACTTAAAAGAATGTGAACTTAAATAAAATTGAAACTTGAGTTTTTTTTTTTTTGAATTTTCTAGACAAAAGAACATGTCATGTGCTCACATTTTGTGAGCAAGGCATTATTTTATGAGTTATGAATTTGGAGCATTTACTCACCAGTCATGACAAAACTAGAAACTACTACGGAAATCAGATCTTTTTTCCTTTTATTCTCTTACCTTTTTCTCCCTCACTAATCAACCTTTTAACTTCTAAACAATTTCATTAATAGTTAGTATTATTAAATATTATGGAATAAATGAAGTGAAAATTTTGAAACCTTCACAAAACAAGTCTCAAAACCATTAATAAAATAATACCAAATCCCAAAGGGCCGTACCAATTGTGGAAAATGGTGAAACAGTAGATCTCAGCTCTCTGTCACTGTAACTTCCTTTTCTTACTTCCTCAACACAAGGCGTTAAAAAGCATCACACACACACACATATGTGTGCGTGTATGTGTGTGTATATATATATATATGTATTTTTTTTTTCACAGTGTGAAAAAAAAAATAGAAAAGGAAAAAAAAGGGTTAAAGAGTCAACCGGTCCTTTTTGGAGCTATGTATTTGTAAGGCTTCGAAGAGTCCACATACAGCGTTTTATCTCTTTCTCTTTCTCTCTCTCCTTTTTCCCTCTTTTCTTTTTTCTTTTTTTTCCCCTCTCTCTCTGCAAATCTCGGAAAAGCGTTTTCTCTCTTCCCTTTTTTTTTTTGTTTTTTGCTTTTTAATAATTCTCTCTAGGTCTCTTCAACTCTATTGAAACCTTTTAAGCACAGTCAAGGCATGCAGACAACGAGATAACACTTACCCAAAACTAGGGTTCCAGTTTTTTCAACTCTCAAACCTCTACCCACTGTGATTCAGGAACCAAGCCCTCTTTATTTTTTTGTTGTTGCAGTTTTGCAGAGAGAAGAAATTTGAGGGAAGAGAGAGAGGGATAGAGAACGAAGAGCTAAGCAAGAAAAAGGAAAAAAAATTTTAAAAAAAAGAGGATTATTTGCTTGCCTTCTTTCTCTTTCTTTCTCTCCAAACAAACACATACACCCAAGTTTTTTTCTCTTCTACAGAGAGGGAGTTGGAGACATTTGGGGTAATTCTCTCCAAAGACCATTTGTCTCCTCTATCCTCTCCTAGTTTTCTTCTCTCTCTCTTTTTTCCCCCCTTCATTTTCCTTTTCAGGTTTTTTTCTCTTTTGATTTCTTATTTTGTTCAGATACTTTTTTCTTTGTGCTCAATAATGAGAGACCCATTTCGTTTTTCCTCACATATCTTCGTTTTGTAAATCCGGGGCTGGTTTAATTTACTCAGAAAAAAAAACTATGAACTACTAGTACTCAATATTAATGGAAGTGCTTGTAAATTTGTAAAGATAGAGAGAAAAAATAGTGTTTGGTGAAGCGGAAAATCAAAACGAAAAAAAAAAAAAAAAAAAGAAGAAAGGGTTCTTCTTTGATGAGTTTTGGAGGATTCCTTGACAATAGTAGTACTGGCGGTGGTGGTGTCGGCGGCGGTTCAAGAATAGTGGCTGACATCCCCTACAGTAACAACAACCACAACCACAACAACGAAAACGACAACAACCACATCAACAACGACAACAACAATATGCCCTCCACTGCAATCGCTCAGCCTCGACTCGTCACTCAATCTCTAACCAAATCAATGTTCAACTCTCCCGGACTCTCTCTAGCCCTCGTACGACCCAAAAACAAAAACCAACGCCTTTTTTTTTCGCTTGTTTTGATCTCTTGTTTCTCAACTTTATAGGGGTTTGTTCTTCATTGTTTTGTTGAGCAGCAAACGAATATAGATGGACAAGGAGATATGATTAGAAACATGGCGGAGAATTTCGAGCCGAGCGGGGGAAGAAGAAGCAGAGAGGAAGAGCACGAGATCAGTAGATCTGGAAGCGACAACCTGGAAGGCGGTTCCGGCGACGATCAGGACGCCGCCGACAAGCCTCCGAGGAAAAAACGTTACCACCGACACACCCCTCAACAAATCCAAGAGCTCGAAGCGTAATCATTTTTTCTTAATTAATTTCATTCTTCTCGATCTCATTTCAACCATAACTGTGTTTGTTATAGTCTTGATATTGTATTTAGATTTTGTTCCATTTTCAGTCTGTTTAAGGAGTGTCCTCATCCTGATGAGAAGCAAAGATTGGAGCTCAGCAAACGCCTCTGCTTAGAGACGAGGCAAGTAAAATTCTGGTTCCAAAATCGCCGAACCCAAATGAAGGTAAAAGAAAAACAAATATGATTTCATTTTAACAAATTGATTTAGTCTTTCTTCTTGGTTATATAACTTATTAATTTTTACCGACCAGACCCAACTGGAACGACACGAGAACTCATTACTGAGGCAAGAGAACGACAAGCTCCGAGCTGAAAACATGTCAATCAGGGACGCCATGAGGAACCCAATCTGCACAAACTGCGGCGGCCCGGCGATAATCGGCGAGATTTCGTTCGAAGAGCAGCACCTGAGGATTGAGAACGCCCGTCTCAAAGACGAATTGGAGCGCGTCTGCGCCCTCGCTGGCAAGTTTTTGGGACGTCCCATTTCATCCTTGGCCACGTCACTTGCGCCGCCATTGCCGAGCTCCGCGCTGGAGCTCGGCGTCGGGAGCAACGGCTTTGCGGCGCTGAGTGCGACGACAATGCCTTTGGGGCCTGATTTTGGGGGCGGGATTTCGAACCCTTTGCCGGTTCTGCCTCCGGCGAGGCCTACTGGGGGTGTTCAAGTCCTCGACCGGTCCATCGAGAGGTCGATGTACTTGGAGCTTGCTTTGGCTGCCATGGACGAATTGGTTAAGATGGCGCAGACTGATGAGCCGCTTTGGATCAGGAGCTTGGAAGGCGGAGGAGGAGGAAGAGAAGTACTGAATCATGAGGAGTACTTAAGGAGCTTCACGCCTTGCATTGGCATGAAACCAAACGGGTTAGTCACCGAAGCTTCTAGAGAGACCGGGATTGTTATCATCAACAGTCTGGCCCTTGTGGAGACTCTAATGGACTCGGTAATAATAATTAAATATAAGCCTAAATTATTCATCACCACTACTTAAAAGATTGTTCTAATTAGGTCTTACTAATTAATTTTATGACAATTTGTAGAATCGTTGGGCGGAGATTTTTCCTTGTATGATAGCCAGAACCTCCACAACAGACGTGATCTCTAGCGGCATGGGAGGAACTAGAAATGGTGCACTTCAGCTGGTACATAACATAGATTTGTGGAATGAAATTATAATTGTAGGATAAAAAAGAAGCCTATTTTGTGACTAAATGTGATGTTAAATTATTGATTTCCAGATGCACGCGGAGCTTCAAGTGTTATCGCCGCTGGTGCCGGTGCGAGAAGTGAATTTCCTCCGGTTCTGCAAGCAGCACTCGGAGGGGGTGTGGGCGGTGGTGGATGTGTCCATTGACACCATCCGAGAAACTTCCGGCGCACCAACGTTTGTCAACTGTAGGAGGCTTCCTTCTGGCTGTGTTGTGCAAGACATGCCTAGTGGGTACTCAAAGGTAAAATTGTAAATGCATTATTGTATCGTACCAACGTACCATTTTCAGTTTCTAGTATACTATAAAGGCTTTTGCTTGGGTACAAGTATAAACTGTATACCATAAAGGCTTTTGTTTAGTAAATAAAAAACACAAGGGAAAAACTGGAGGGGATATTTTGTTTGCTTATTATTCCATACGCCTATCAGGAATTAAACTAGAGTCTAATACCAAACACACCCTTGAGTTGCATAGTTTTGGCTCAGTTTCTCTCTTTGCATTTATTGTGGTTTCCCAAGTGGGTGTTTCCCTTTTTCTACTTTGGTCTTTAATGAGTCTGCTTAAGTAACTGCAACATTGGAGGTTAGTTGAGTACATTTAAGTGAGCAAAAACACACCGTTAACCACATCAAATCATGGGCATTTTCATTCCCAAGCCAACCACTTAAAGCTCCTGCATCAAAAAGCTTTTTGTTATAAATTTTTTTCTTATTGTTTTTCTAGTGATTACTCTCTTTATCACCAAACTGTCAGTGTGCTTAGTTTGGCTCCCGAGAAGATTATATTTTATGTCCCTCTCATCGAATCTGAAGCCACTCAAAAAATCTTATCATTATTGACCCCTCAATGCTCCTTCTGTTATAAACTCGTATATATTATAATCTTTATTCCAAGTTTCAATGACTTGGTTTGCTTACTTCTGCTATAATACAGCCACCCTTTGTTAGCCAATCGATGATATGGGACTATTTTTATCCGATAGAAGCCTCTATTACGCAAATTTCAGGACTTTGAACACATTAATTTCGTGTCTTTTGCATCCAAATGGCCTTGTAATCTTCAACTCGATTGAATAAACAATGTTTTTGATGTTTCTATTCCAATCTTTGATGCTCTCTCGATTCTCTGCCATTAGCCAAGCCACATATTAAATCAACGTGAACTCTGCCAAGCTTATTTTAAACTATATAATAACAAGACCTCGTTCTCGTAGTCAAACTGCAAGACCTGGCTATTTTGTTCTTATGTGGACTCAAATAGGGTGAATTCCACAGCGTTACACTTCTCGATGTCTCTCAATTTATTTTATTTTTTTGTCTCCCTCAACCTCTACGTGATTCCATGGCCCCTCATTTTGCCCATCTCCTTTTGTTGTTCTTCCTACTGAAAAATGACGCCTATATACAAATCCGAATGAACAGAAAAAAAATTTAATTTCCCCTACTTAATTACGTAAATCTAGTTTCTTGTTTTAAGTTCTCAAATCTTTTTTAGCGGAGTCAATGTCATTATACATAAGTCAAGCTATCCATTTTTAATTGATAATCTCTAAGACCCACAATCATATTATTATATTACAGCATTAGTTTTTAATTACTTATCATAAACATTTGATATTTTTCTTTTAACATAGGACATAAGCTATCTTAATAAAGTAAATTATGCACACATTATTATATTGTTGCGCAGGTAACATGGGTCGAGCATGCAGAATACGACGAGAGCCAAGTGCACCAACTCTACCGTCCATTGCTAAGCTCCGGCATGGGCTTCGGTGCGCAACGGTGGGTCGCCACCCTTCAACGCCAGTGCGAATGCCTTGCCATTCTCATGTCCTCCACCGTCCCCACCCGAGATCACACCGGTAGTCCTTTACAACACTCAAATTAAATAATATTATCTCATGTCATAGAGTTTCAAGGTGACTTTGATATACAACGTTGATACAATAAATTTGCAGCCGGGATAACGGCGAGCGGGCGGCGGAGCATGTTGAAGCTGGCGCAGCGGATGACAGACAACTTCTGCGCGGGGGTTTGCGCGTCGACAGTTCACAAGTGGAACAAGCTCAACGCCACGGGCAACGTGGACGAGGACGTGCGAGTGATGACGAGGAAGAGTGTCGACGACCCGGGGGAGCCTCCAGGGATCGTCCTCAGCGCTGCCACCTCCGTTTGGTTGCCAGTCTCCCCCAATCGCCTCTTTGACTTCCTCCGCGACGAGCGCCTCCGTAGCGAGTGGGACATCTTGTCAAACGGTGGGCCCATGCAGGAGATGGCCCACATTGCTAAAGGCCAAGACCACGGCAACTGCGTCTCCCTTCTCCGTGCCAGCGTAAGCCTTTTTTTTTTTTTTTTTTTTTCCCCTATCTAAATGATTGTTATTGATTTTTGATATGCCCACTTCTCAATTTTTTACGTGGTTGGAAATAGTAAAACTGTGGGTATTATTGGATTTGGATTTTGGGGATTGTAAAGTGTGAGAGGGTGAAACTGAATTATGAAGGGGTGGACTAGTTTGGGGGTTTGGAAGTATCTATAAGGACGGTTTTTTGTTTTTGGAGAACTGTGTTTTGTTTGGGTAACTTTTTTCAAAAAAAAGTCAAAATATAGGACGGCCCTCAACTTTTCCGAGTTGGTTTATCTGAAACATCTGGCCTCACGAAAAAAATAAAAGAGAAGAAAAAGGAAAATGGAAAGAGCGAGAAAAAGGTTTATCAGGGTTTGACTCTCTCCCCTTCCGAATCAGCGTGGCAGGTTAAAAAACCCAAAAGTAATTGACAAAACGAGTGGCACTTTGTGTGAATATTGTGGTAAAGAGGGGTTTATTTTTTTTGTTCATTGATTCTTGGTTGCAGGCGATGAACACGAACCAGAGCAGCATGCTGATCCTGCAGGAGACTTGCATAGACGCGGCGGGGTCGCTTGTGGTCTACGCGCCCGTTGACATACCAGCCATGCACGTGGTGATGAACGGTGGCGATTCTGCGTACGTGGCGCTGCTGCCCTCGGGATTCTCGATCGTCCCGGATGGGCCAGGCTCCCGTGGGTCCGTGTCGGCGACCACTAACGGCGGCGGGAACAATGTTAACAACGTCAACGGTGGTGATGGGCCCCAGCGAGTGGGTGGGTCTCTCCTCACCGTGGCATTCCAGATCCTTGTCAACAGCCTTCCTACGGCCAAGCTCACGGTGGAATCGGTGGAGACGGTCAACAATCTCATCTCTTGTACGGTCCAGAAGATCAAGGCCGCTCTTCACTGCGAAAGCTGATAAGTGATAACGGTCACGTGATTCTCAGAGTGGCCAAGTCCAGCCTCAACTAGTTTCCTTTTTTTTTTTTTTTTTTTTTAATTATTAATTAACATTGACTTGTGTGTAGAGAGTGAGGGTACTGGTGAAGAAGTGGGTAAAAAGGGGTATTTGTTGTTTGTTTGGAGTGAGCGAGTTAAGACTCAGTGAGTTGGGAGTTTTGGGGCTGTTGAGTCAAGAACGAACCCTGCGTTGAGACTCCTTGCATGGTGATAAGAATAACTGCATACATGATAGCTGAGTCAGGCGTCGAGTTGTTAGTCAGTGACTCGGTGTCCGCTTGGCTCTCTGAGTTTTCTTAGCACAAGGCAAGGGTGGTGGTTCGGGTATTGACTCTGGTCAACCCCGAGTTGGCTTGAGTAGCTAAGAAGGTTGCAGTCTTTTTATAAGAGGAAAAAAGAAAATCTCGAATTTTAAATTTGATTTTTAAAAAAAAAAAATGTACTTTTCATTTTTATTATCTTAATTTACTGTGCAATCTCAATGTGCTGCATTTAATCTGAGTTTATCTTAAAAAATTTATGAAACAACAAATATGTTTAGTAGTTGATATGTATCCATCAGTACCTTCTTGTATTAAATATGAAGATTAAATCAAGGAAAATAGTAGAAAATAAGTTAATATGAAAAGCTTAAGAAAGTATATAGGTTAATTTTTAATTATAAAAATTAATAGGTCATAACTTAACATTCATAATCAGATAAGTTATGGATAAATTTGTCAAGTTATGGTTCATAGTCAGACAAGTTATGGATAAAAATCAGGAATAACTTGTTAAGTTATGGTTTATAACCAGACAAGTTATAGACGAAAACAGTAATTTAATCTATTTATTAATTTATGTAAATTATTAGCGTTTTAATTTTAATTTATCTCAAGTCTTGACATATTTTTCTCTTTTTTCCTTAAATCAAAGCTTAGGACTACAAATTTTGCATTCCATTTTTCTATCTTTTCTATAAAGGTTTAGCTCCCCTTAAAAAAAAAAAAAAAAGACGGTTTACCCTATCATGTATTGTAATACAATGTACTTGTGTGAATTTGAGAGTCGACTAAAAAGGCAGATTACTGACCAAATGCACTCAAGATTTTGTTTTTCCTTCTTTTATTTTTTATTATTTTTTTATTGTTGCACATTATAAGTCATAACTTATCATTTTCTTATCAAACTTCAGTTTTCCAATGATAGGAAGGAAGTTTTAAGTGTTATCTATACGAGTACTTGTCTCCATCCACATTATCTCATTAACATTTAATCCTCCTAATGGCAGAAGCAGCTTCTTCAAGTCCAGCTCCGGCCACGGCGGCGGTTAAACCTCACGCGCCGTTATATAGGGGGTGATTAGGAGTGGTTTGTATGTTTTCTGGAGGTGAATGGAATAATGATGGGGGGTGTGTGTAAGATATATCTGTAATATTGCATTAAATGAGGGAGGCAGAAGCTGTTGGGAGAAAGCGTTGCAATCATTAAATGCTGTTGTTTTGGCTCGGCCTCCTTTCCCCGTTGCGTGCACCAACCACTAAGACGGCGACACGTTTGTGCCGCGTCTCTCTCTCTCGGAGTACAAACTACAAAGTAGGGGACTGACAGTAACGGCGTTTTTGCTATCTAGTACCTATCACAGGTTGGCTTAGCCAAGGAATGGTCACACTTCTGGTTTTGGTATATATTTATAATATGATAATATAATACAGCTTTGTTCTACGTATAATGCATACAACAGTCAACAGTTGGCTGGCTACCGTGGGAGTCTCTTTCTTATCCGAGATAAAAATAAATATATAAACCTAAAAATAAGACAAGCAATTTTGATTTTCCTATGGTTCATGATTTTTGTTTGGTGTTTGAGAAGAAAAACATTAACAAAATTGCAATAAAAATGGGTGATTCTTGCTGAATTTGATTATTATTCTTTAGATTTACTAGGATATTAGTCCTAAAATATGAGCCATATTATTCTTTGAAATTTGATTTATAAAAATTTCAATAACTATGCAGTTAGAATTTCATTATCAAAGAAAATTCTAAAAGTTAATTATCTCTATAAAACGTAACTATTGAAAACTCGTTCATATAGAATATAGATACATGGATGAGTTTTTAATGGTTACGTTTTCATCGATTGTTACCATCAAATATAAAAATTTGATAACGTTGCGTGATAAAAATTCAGTTCCATTAATTATCATAAATCTTTTTACTCAACTATATAATTTATTATAGCTGTCGAATTAATATCTTATGACTAAAATAATGATATCCATTAATGAATTAATGAGTAAATATTGAAGTATAACTTTTTTTTTTTGGCTAGAAACAATACTAATAACTTTATTCTTTATATGTGTATAAATAGACTGAATATTGTCTACTAACTAGTTAGCAAAAAGATTTAAAAACAAAATGTAGTACTAGAAATTCTAACATAAGGGTCCCCATTCAATTTGCTTATTCGAGTTTTTAATTCGAGTTGATATGTGACTTTGTGTGAAAGTTTTTTACTGTAGTAAAAAAATTAGATGTGACTGTTTATTATGAGAACTTTTTACTGTAACAAAACTTAAATTTTAAACTCAAATTGGTTAAATAAACCAAATCTTTAATATCCACTCACGTATTAGTTATATTTATCATCTATTCATTAGTAGAAACAATGTTTTAGTACTAATTGAAGTGGTAATTTATTTAAACATTAATAAATAAAAGAGTAGCAACTCACGTAATGTTACGTCATGCGATGGTATTAAAAATTGAGGATTAGAGAGTTGCGTCTTTAGCATTTTTCTTATAGAAAAGACAGTAGTATATCCATTGATAGCTAACACTGGAAAAAGAAAAGAGATCTGCACCAAATGTCAGACCCACCTAAGTTTTAAGTCCGTGAACTTTAACATAGCATAGTGGGATCAAATCTAAATATCTAATATTTTTGGAAAATTTTTCCGATGTGATATATAAATCTTACCGTTTTGTTATATTATTACTTTTATTTTTGAGATATTTTTTGGTACGTTTACGTTAAATTTTTTTTAATCGTTAGATCTACGTATTAATTTTAGATTTTTATGTGATTTTATGCAAATCTAACGGATATAAAATTTAGTCTACTGAAATATTGACGTACCGGATAGGGTCATTTTTTTTTATATCTAATATGATTTTGGTGTAATTTAGTAATTCAAAACTATATTTTATTAATAGGTTTTCTTATCGTATCCTATCACAAAATTTTCTTCTTAAATAGCTTGGTAGTATAACGTGATATAAAATGTTTCTAAATGCAAAATGGTTTCAGCAATCCTACAATAGAATAGAAAAGATATCAGTCTCGTGCGTTTCATTTCAAATAGATGTATTTGCATGTTATTTTAATTTTGATATAATTTTAATGTGCTATGAAGTAAAAACAAAAAAAAAAAACAAAACAAAAAAATAAAAAAAAATGCATTATTGTGTGCACATATATCTTAGCACAACAAACAACAATAAACTTTTCTCCATCTTAAAATTACGGTTGGTAATCTCATCAGCTCTCCCAATGATCATAGAGGCAAATTTAATAATTTGATTTAGCTCAATTAATTAAACCGATGCAAGATATTCACGTTCACTTCATTCGAATACATACTAGTGCATTTATTTCAGGAAAAAGAAAATAAAGTAGAATTACCTCCAAAGTTCTAATATGCATGTGACTAATTTATTAAACTACATCACTGAACCACTGATTAATTTGAGTGTGAGAAGCATTAACTAATGAATGATATGTGAACCGCGGGTTCATTCATAATCTCTCCAGTTTTGACATAAAAAAAATGTTTAATATTTGGGATTTGATACATGGTAAGTTTGACTATGTGTGCGTGGGGATGTGACTTTTAATATTTATCCAGAAATAATCATTGCCAACTATCGTTTTATTAGTAATATTTACTCATTTGTTAATGATATCTGGATTCTTAAACCTCCAGGTTTGACTAAACTCAGTTTTGCTAACTTCGCAGCCGCTTAATTGTGACTGGTACTTGTGTATTAAAGCTGCAAGTACAACTTTGAAAAAATGTGTGTTTTTCCTATTTTTTGTCGTTGAGTTTCAGAACAGTACATGATATTAATCGAAAAGCAAACGCACTTCTACTTTGTTATTGGTAGTGTAATTAAGGACTTATTTGGTCTAACAATTTAAACCGTAAAGATTTAATTTTTTTTTTTTTTGTTAGAACTGTAGAATTTAGATTATGGTAATTTTAATTGTGATTCGAACCGGTATTTAGATATGTAAATAAATTATAATTTGAATTGGAAATAAAATCTGAACTGTGTTTGGATAAAATATTAAAAATTGTCATTAGAGTTTTGTAACAAATCTTATAAAACTTCATTATAAATGACATTAAAAAATATGCAATATAGGTGGGGATTTGTTCCTCTCTTCGAACACATTAAAAAAATATCATCTCAATTGGAATTAAAATGAAGAAATTATAACATTTTTAAGATTGAAATTGAAGAGAGATAAAAAGTAGAATCTGAAACTGTTGAATTGTTAACAACAATTCGGATCGTTAAAAATTTAGGGGTGGTGAATTCTAAAAATCAAGGGTTTGAACCATTGTTAATGGTTGGAATTGTCATTTATTTTTCCTCTCTCAAACACTAATTTAAATTATGAACAAAGGTTTGAATCCTAACCAACCGTTTGAGTTGTTGAAACAAACATGGCATAACACATCGAATTGTGTGTATGTATAGATACCTAAAATTAATTGTGTTTAAGAGTAAGATGATACATACTTCATTGTTTAAGAGTAGGTTCTGATTATTTGACTTTTGGACGTGTTACAAATATTTAATGAACTCAAAATATGGATATATAAATATATATAAGCTTGAAAAGAAAGTAAAAAGAAACACAAAATACTTGGAAAGTAATGAAAAAAAAAATATCGAAAGCACGGAATTTGGAAACAAACAAAAACCATTATTCCCCAATTGCAGGCTGGGGTAGAGCTCGCTCTAGTGCATGGAACCAAAATGTGCACGTGAGGGATCACAGGAAATCCCCTATGTATGTCTTTAGGTGTGGATGAAGGCAATAAAGTCAAGACAGCGAAAGGCTATCCGAAAGTGGGAATGGTATTTGGCCCTCATAACTTTAGCTATATATATATATATATATATATATATAAGGACATTGTTCTTTAGCTCTAGCCATTTAACCTAAAAATAAAAATAAAAAGTCCTCTTACTCGCTTCAAATAGGGTGGCCAAAACGACATCCACAAAATTTTTCGTCACTGTCACGTGATAGCAATCATACACAGAATTTACTCTTTACACTCTAGTTTGAAAATATGATTTTTATTTTTATTTTTTATTTTTTGTGCTTTCTTAAACATAAAGTTTAATTTG